TTGTGACAAAGCTGTGGAAGATAAACACTATCAGTTGTAAGTACATTTCTTTACATCATATACTGGGTTTACTTGTGACAAAGCTGTGGAAGATTAACACTATCAGTTGTAAGTACATTTCTATACATCATATACTGGGTTTACTCGTGACAAAGCTGTGGAAGATAAACACTATCAGTTGTAAGTACATTTCTTGACATCATATACTGGGTTTACTCGTGACAAAGCTGTGGAAGATTAACACTATCAGCTGTAAGTACATTTCTTTACATCATATACTAGGTTTACTTGTGACAAAGCTGTGGAAGATTAACACTATCAGTTGTAGGTACATTTCTTTACATCATATACTGGGTTTACTCGTGACAAAGCTGTGGAAGATTAACACTATCAGTTGTAAGTACATTTCTATACATCATATACTGGGTTTACTCATGACAAAGCTGTGGAAGATAAACACTATCAGTTGTAAGTACATTTCTTTACATCATATACTAGGTTTACTTGTGACAAAGCTGTGGAAGATTAACACTATCAGTTGTAGGTACATTTCTTTACATCATATACTGGGTTTACTTGTGACAAAGCTGTGGAAGATTAACACTATCAGTTGTAAGTACATTTCTATACATCATATACTGGGTTTACTCGTGACAAAGCTGTGGAAGATTAACACTATCAGTTGTAAGTACATTTCTATACATCATATACTAGGTTTACTTGTGACAAAGCTGTGGAAGATTAACACTAACAGTTGTAAGTACATTTCTTTACATCATTTACTGGGTTTACTCGTGACAAAGCTGTGGAAGATAAACACTATCAGTTGTAAGTACATTTCTATACATCATATACTGGGTTTACTTGTGACAAAGCTGTGGAAGATTAACACTATCAGTTGTAAGTACATTTCTATACATCATATACTGGGTTTACTTGTGACAAAGCTGTGGAAGATTAACACTATCAGTTGTAGGTACATTTCTTTACATCATATACTGGGTTTACTCGTGACAAAGCTGTGGAAGATTAACACTATCAGTTGTAAGTACATTTCTATACATCATATACTGGGTTTACTTGTGACAAAGCTGTGGAAGATAAACACTATCAGTTGTAAGTACATTTCTTTACATCATATACTGGGTTTACTTGTGACAAAGCTGTGGAAGATTAACACTATCAGTTGTAAGTACATTTCTTGACATCATATACTGGGTTTACTTGTGACAAAGCTGTGGAAGATTAACACTATCAGTTGTAAGTACATTTCTATACATCATATACTGGGTTTACTCATGACAAAGCTGTGGAAGATAAACACTATCAGTTGTAAGTACATTTCTTTACATCATATACTAGGTTTACTTGTGACAAAGCTGTGGAAGATTAACACTATCAGTTGTAGGTACATTTCTTTACATCATATACTGGGTTTACTCGTGACAAAGCTGTGGAAGATAAACACTATCAGTTGTAAGTACATTTCTTTACATCATATACTGGGTTTACTCATGACAAAGCTGTGGAAGATTAACACTATCAGTTGTAAGTACATTTCTATACATCATATACTGGGTTTACTCGTGACAAAGCTGTGGAAGATAAACACTATCAGTTGTAAGTACATTTCTTTACATCATATACTAGGTTTACTTGTGACAAAGCTGTGGAAGATTAACACTATCAGTTGTAGGTACATTTCTTTACATCATATACTGGGTTTACTCGTGACAAAGCTGTGGAAGATAAACACTATCAGTTGTAAGTACATTTCTTTACATCATATACTGGGTTTACTCATGACAAAGCTGTGGAAGATTAACACTATCAGTTGTAAGTACATTTCTATACATCATATACTGGGTTTACTCATGACAAAGCTGTGGAAGATAAACACTATCAGTTGTAAGTACATTTCTTTACATCATATACTAGGTTTACTTGTGACAAAGCTGTGGAAGATTAACACTATCAGTTGTAAGTACATTTCTTTACATCATATACTAGGTTTACTTGTGACAAAGCTGTGGAAGATTAACACTATCAGTTGTAAGTACATTTCTAAACATCATATACTGGGTTTACTTGTGACAAAGCTGTGGAAGATTAACACTATCAGTTGTAAGTACATTTCTAAACATCATATACTGGGTTTACTTGTGACAAAGCTGTGGAAGATTAACACTATCAGTTGTAAGTACATTTCTATACATCATATACTGGGTTTACTCGTGACAAAGCTGTGGAAGATTAACACTATCAGTTGTAAGTACATTTCTTTACATCATATACTGGGTTTACTTGTGACAAAGCTGTGGAAGATTAACACTATCAGTTGTAAGTACATTTCTTTACATCATATGCTGGGTTTACTTGTGACAAAGCTGTGGAAGATTAACACTATCAGTTGTAAGTACATTTCTTTACATCATATGCTGGGTTTACTTGTGACAAGCTGTTGAAAATAGAATTTTCGTTCTTACAAAGATCAGTAAGCAACAGATACATTTTTATTGAACCAAAATAGCAAATTTATCAATGTGTTTGCCGTCAGTGACAACCTGTCCGGAAGACAACTTCCTTTGCTTGTTTTGCTGGTCTATTGTTTTCTAACTGGACACGGAAATTAGGGCTAAGCAATCATCCATCGCAGCTATAGCATGGAGTATTGTCCACCCCTGTCACACATTCTGTGAAAGATATAGATTTTACATCCTTGGCACCAACATCTGACATAACAAGAGCTCTAGAAACCGTTCTATCACAACACTCATGACAGTACTGTGACAATTGGCCGGTGTTTTGACCCTTAGCCACCAACACATAACATCTGTCATAACAACAGCTCTGGCGCCCGTTTTATCATACACCTCGTTTTATCATACACCTCGTTTTATCAGCCGGTTTTATCATACTCTCATCATAGTACTGTGACAATTTGCCTTTGGTTTGACCCTTAGCCACCAACACATAACATCTGTCATAACAACAGATCTGGCGCCCGTTTTATCATACACCTCGTTTTATCATACACCTCGTTTTATCAGCCCGTTTTATCATACTCTCATCATAGCACTGTGACAATTTGCCGGTGTTTTGACCCTTAGCCACCAACACATAACATCGGTCATAACAACAGCTCTGGCGCCCGTTTTATCATACACCCCGTTTTATCATACACCTCATTTTATCATACACCTCGTTTTATCATACATCTCGTTTTATCAGCCCGTTTTATCATACTCTCATCATAGTACTGTGAAAATTTGCCTTTGGTTTGACCCTTAGCCACCAACACATAACATCTGTCATAACAACAGCTCTGGCGCCCGTTTTATCATACACCTCATTTTATCATACACCGAAAAACAGACAGACAGTTTTACAACGAAATTTTAAAAATTATTTTGGAGACTTAAATAAATTCTTGATAAATTCTGTAAATTATGCATATCGAAACAAAAATCTATCAGTTTCTCAGAAACAAGGATTAATTACATGCCTACCCCAAAAAAACCCAACCAAAACCATTTTTAAAAAGTTGGCTGCCAATTTCTCTCCTTAACACGTCATATAAAATTTCATCGGCTGTTATAGCCAATAGAATGAAAAAGATACTACCTTTAATAATAAATGATGATCCAAAAGGTTTTGTACCAGGAAGATATATTGGTGAGGTCACAAGGCTGATATACGATCTAATAGAGGATACAGAATCAGAGAGATGTAATCTCCTCATGGGGATTATATTTACGAAAGCAGTATAAGACACTAAACTCAAACGACATGTTAAACCAATCAATGTATTTGGTTTAATTATATGTTTAACATAGGTAACAAGACAATTTTTATAAACAGTTGGTACAATGCAGGAATACACTTTATTTATGATCTAATGAACCCAACTACAGGGGAATGCTATACTAATGAAGAACTATAAAAATCTATCAAGTTAAAACTAATATCTTAAGATATCATAGTATCAAATCTTCCATAACTGCCTGCTTAAAGAGAAGACAAATCAATCTTCCTAAAATACTACCATTCAATATATCCAAAACCTTTTATCTTTCTCCACTAGACCCTAATTACACTAAATCATATGCCCATAAAAAGTGGGAAAGAGTCTTTGTAACACAGTATGATAACACAATGTTACGAAACATATATATGATGGCAAATCGATGTACAACATGTAGTAACTTGAAATGGTTACAGATGGAGATATTATATGATATTTTACCAGCAAACATTTTCTTAAATAGAATCGGTCTAAATGTACGTTCTGTTCAAAGGAACTAGAAACAATTGTCCATCTATTCCGTATTTGTTGTCATGTCAAAAAGATTTGGGAGAGTTTGACCACATGGCTAATGACTGGAACTGAAGGCAACATTGACTTTACACCAGAAAACATCTTACTTGGATTTAAGGGGGAAAACAATAATTCTCTAAATGCAATATGTCTTGTTATGAAACAGGTAATATACACACAAAAAATAAGAGATGGCCTTGGTCTTCACCTATCTTGGAGTGGGACTGACCTTTGATGCCATCATCCATATACTGATCAAAGACAATCTGTATCTGCTGGACATCATCACTAGAAGTGCGGTGCAGTTGTATACTTCATGTCCAAAAACATTCTGCCTTGCGTCTGGAATGTATCCTGTCTGTGTTGATAGATATGTGGACAGTTTGTACACAAATTCTGTATGTCTGTAGGACCACATACTATCACTTAAAAGCTTCTGCTGATCCTGTAAGATTTCTTCACGACTACAACTCCACCCCACCCCCACCCACCACCCCCACACACACACACACCAATACACACCACTACATTTCTACATGCCCCACCACAGATTTGCTTTCATGTGCACCTACCTTAAGTTAATTATTTTTTAACGTATCGCCACCTGTCAATCAAACAAATGACATGACCAATGAGAAACGTCAAATTATTCAATCCGCATCACGTTGCCGTCAGCTGACAGCTGACCACCATTTTGTCCGACATCAGCGGTCTGGCGGACTTTTCAAAAATATATCGACGTTTACAGTCAACTTTTTGATCATGGTGAAAAGGTGTAGCTGGGGTACCTGCAACTCGGACACGCGGTACCCGGAACGACTTGCTGGTGGTATCACCTTTATTCCATTTCCCAAGCCTGCCAGAAATTTTGACAAATGTCAACGATGGATACGTTTGTGTGGTCGCCCCAAGTATCAACTGAACATGGACATACTTCGTGACCACAGCCGAGGAAAACATTTCTTCGTATGTACAAAGGTATGGAAACTAAAATTGAATAACATCTTAACCAATGTTGAAGTTAATGTAAATTTAGAAATCTTTGACTTGGTAGACTTTCAGTGCTTTTTAGTTGTTATATAACCAGTTTACACCGATTTTCACTGATTTAGTTACTAATGTTTCACCGCGTGGTATGTCAAGGACAGACGATGTCTGTGTTTGAGCATACGATTTCAGATACATCCATGTTGTTTTTCGTCGTTTCTATCGACTAATAAATGCGAGCTTATTTACAGCACTTTGTTGATGGAAAACCCTCCAAGACATTTCCGGACCCTGCGTCTGCACTACCTCATGAACAAAATGAAAATCCAAAGACAGTAAGACCACGACCCAAACCACGCTTGCCATTTATGGGCGACAGAAAAAGGAAAGTTCTTCTTGAAACACACAGGTAAAACATTGTTGCCTTTATACTTACTGCTCACAAAACACGACAAAACCATTGAAATATAAAAATCAAACAAATCCTTGTTTATTCTGAGAGTATCACAGAAAGTTAGTAAAGGTAATGTCACACATTTAGATCCTTTGTAGTTACGAAAAGACAGAAGTATCACATGCATCACAAGATCACAATCATACTCAAGTTCTATTCATATAAGCATGATGAAGGGACTGATATCACCTGCAGCAGGTGCATATTGACATAAAAATCTAATTGCTCCAGACAAAACTGTGTTTCACCCAGGGCCCATAATATTGAGTGATAATACACAATAACTCTGAAGGATTCAAAGTATTCATTACAATCCATCATAAATATTAATACATCAACATGGACATTTGCTGTAACCACTGAGATCAGCCACGACAGTGGTTCTTTTAAATATGTTTAAATACAACATTAATTTACATATTTATAGATGTTTTTTTTTTACATGGCATGGCCAGACACAGCCATTAGTCCCCTATCCAGAGATTGCTAATATTTCATACAGAAAAGATGACTTCTCAAATATAGAGATAATGTATGAATCAGATGGTCCAATATCCACATACAACTAGTCCATTCATACTTGTCATTTCTCTGACGGGCACAGTGTTTCAGAATATATTCTTACTCCTTCATCAGCTGGGAGACGAATAAAACTAGGAAGCAGATGGCAATATTACATGTGAAAGAACAACAGTCATATGATGTCAACTGTGGGCACTTAACAAGTGAAGCCAAAAGTTATTTATCGCTGAATTGTAATAGCAATAAACACATATATTAGAAAAGTTAATCCAGGCATAAATAGTCCTGATAGGTAATCAAGAAGTTATAGGAAATCGACAAAGATGGTAACCATTTAAAGGCTGTAACACATTTGAGGTTCAGGTATAAGATAATTTGGTCTTCATCTTCTTTTTCAGATGTAATCATGATACAGATATTTCTGATTCACCAAATCAGATGGATATGGAACATCCAGAGCCTACAACCATGCAGCAGGAATCTGATATTCTTGTCCAACAAAGTGACACCATGGGTAATTTTTTATGAAGTCTGTTTCCCTGCAAAGTATGGTTTGAAGTGATTGACATATGTTTGTGACAGACTTTCAAGCAGAGTCCTGAAGGTATTCCTATCTGGATATATCCGTTCAATGTTAAAGTCTTGTCTGGTGTAGGTTACAAAGTCACAAAATGGTGCCCCAGTTACAAGTAGTTGGCCCTGTACCTGATACCAATGCCTATCACCTCTCTTCAAGTTGTAATATTTTCCTTCTTTTTTCAAAAAAGAAACCAGTCATACAGGAGGCTTCATTAATGGTCAAGTCCCTTACAGCATAAGGACACTTAATTTCCACAATACCAGAAACAGAAGTGTCACACACTATAGCATCAGGGGTGGCTCCTATAAATGGAATAGATGGGTTTACAACAAAGCCAATGTCATGAAGATGATTTTGAGTTTTTTTCATGTACATTTGTTTAGCTATTTTCTCATTAGAATTCCCATAAGTTGTTGGATTGGAGGAAAATTTCTTTTTGTCAAAGGTGTTTCTGATAAATGTGTCATTGATTTGTTTTTTGCGAGTCATAAGCAGACCAAAGTTTGAAGCAGTAATTCGCCCTTTCCTCGCTTTGTACCACAAATCAGACTTGCTTTGAGATCTTGTATTTTTTTCTAAATTATGGGACTCGTCAACTGAAAGTTCTAAATCTTTCCACTGATGTTTTAAAGTTGCAATTGAATCCAGTTCGGGTAAGTTGTCATCTTTTGGAAATGTGATATCACCGCACCTGTCCTCCATCTTTGGAACCACTATTGGTCTAATTAAGGGTGCCTGTAAAGAGAAGAAGCCAGTTTATTCACACTTAGTTTCATACAAGGGAGGTAATAAGGCTGTTTTACTTCTTAAATCTCAAATTGAAACAAGTATGTTGTGGGTGCTATGTGTTCATTCTTAACTTATTCTTTTGTGTGCAAAGCATTTTTTAAACATTACAACAAGTCAGATTGATAATAGGTAAGTCTGTTTCAGGCCTAATAATGAGTTTGGTGCCCTAAACTAGCCAGATCATTTCTTCTCTGTAGAATGTATTATTGCTTGAAACAGTTGTAATTGCTTTTACAGGTCCTCTGCCACTTGATATGCTGGCTCTAGCTGCAGAGAACAAGCAACTCAAAGAAGATATGGCCAAACTGATCCTAGAAAAGGAGGAGCTCATGCGTGCCCAGCAGATCAACACCAAAATTAGTGCTAAAAATGTTAAGCATGATGTGTATTCTTTTTGTAAAAATATAGAGAAAAAAGATTACAAGTATTACACAGGATTTCCCTACGAACAGTTTCAGAAAATATTTAAATTTGTTGTCCCTGGCAATGCTGATGATGAACCTTTTCAATTTACCAGAACAGTTAGCAGTTTGAAGTGTATGGGTCTTGAAGACCAGCTTTTGCTTGTTCTGATTAAACTTAGACAGAATTTTGATTTTAAACATCTCTCAAAGTTGTTTCTGATATCACCCCAAGATTGCAGTACTGCGTTTTCAAATTGGATAAATTACTTATATTACAGGTTTGGATCTGTGTCAATTTGGCCTCACCGTGATGTTTTGCAGCAACATATGCCTTCAAAATTTCGCCAGGAATTTCCAAACACTTTCAGTATCATTGATGGAACAGAAATAAAAATTCAGAGACCCTCTTCACTGACAAGGCAAAGTCAAGCATATTCAGATTACAAATCAAGTACTACCCTGAAAGGTCTCATTGGTGTGGACCCAAGAGGTTCAATTACATTCATATCAATGCTGTTTTCTGGGGCGATATCAGACAAAGAATTAACTGAAAAAGTGGTTATCTGTCCCTCCTCAGAGAAATGGTTAAGTGTGGGAAACTTAAAGTGGGAGATGGTCTGATGGCAGACAAGGGCTTTAATATTGAAAAGGAAATAAGGGCCACTGGATTACGCCTCAACATTCCCCCTTTTGCACCAGGTATAGGTCAGATGTGTGTGTCTGATGTGGCAGAAACAGTGAAAATTGCAACACACAGAGTGGTGGTCGAAAATGCCATTGGAAGGGTAAAAAATTCAAAATTGTTGGTAAAAATTGCATTTAAGTTTGTTTTCCTCAGTAAATCAAATTTGGTTTGTGTGCTGTTTCTTGACCAATTTTATGCCATATTTAATTCAAGATAAAGATTAATTACTTGATGTCCAAGAGTTGATCCAACAACCTGAGGACCTATTGGTGTGTCAACTGTCTGACTGGTGCTGGTACATGTATCTGTCAGGTATGAAATAGGGAATCTCTTCATACTGTGCAGCAGAGACATGTCAGACTCCTGTATTTGAACTTTCCTGCAAGTACAAAAAGTATTAGTCACAAATATTGTATTTGTGTATGTTAAAAACTTGCAATGTCAATGAATATTTTGTACGTGCTCTTGTTCCTTGTTCACTTAACTGAACTGTAATATTTATGCAAACAACTGCTCAATAGTCATCTGATATTGCTTTCTAAACTGTGATGAGTATTTTCTACCTTGGAAATATCTGATGATCATGGAGTAAAAATGTCATATAGGTAATGCTTGCATTATGATACATCATTTTCATAAAACAAGTTCAGAATCTGAAATAAAACTTTAAGTATATAATAACATCACCTGTTGTCATTGAATGTGGCCATCACAGGTCTCCTTTTCCTATTAAGATTTCCAGGCCTGGCAATAATTATCTGTGACACTGCTTCGGATTCAATCTTTGGTCCCCTTGGTTTATCCCACTGCTGAGGCAGGCTAGTGGAAGAGGGCTGTGAAGGAATGGCTTGATAGCCTGATATCTTCCAGCCTTCCAGTATCAGGACAAGTGCCAAAACATGGGAACACTTTCCACTTGCACTGAAGAGAATAGGGTGAATAAATTTGTTACAGAACTGTGATTGACAGCAGGAATATATAATATATAATATAATTGAGAAGAAAATACATTTACATGGTTTTATTCCCGCAATGCCTAATAACAGATATTACATTTACCTCTTACATTTATTACAGAATCTGTTTCTTACACGATGATAGAAATTTAACGTAATTATATGGGATAACATGGGTTTCATTGTCAACAACTGAAGCGGCCAGCACACAGACGTGTAATTGATTTGATATCTATATATGCCGCTTATAAAACCCCAACAGATTTATGCCATAAATTGGAAAGGCACCCGAAGTTATTTCGTGTACTACTCACCCACATTTGCAGCTACAATGGGCGTCAGTGAACGATTTGTGAATTCTGTCAAGGGACAAGTTGATGACATGTGGAGCTTCGGTTTTCCGTTGACTTCTATAAATCCTCCCGCAAATTGACACGATATTATCACAACATGAATGGAAAGTAACGGAATGAAGGTATGAGGCCGAACTAAAAGCCACTCCACGTTGTTTTTGCCGCAAAGTAGGTTCATAAGGCAAATATTTCGGGCCAATATCATCGGGAATGTCTCTAAACGATATCACGACTGCCATTTTGACAGTTGGTTTTGACAGCTATGTTGTCGGACCTTTTGAGAGTTATCTCCCTTTCTTTTGGGGGCGTGGTTAACTCTCCACTGGCGATCTATTGGGCTTGTAAACAGTATGTTTCCATGGACTATCTGGACATACCCAGAAGCAAATATTCAACAGCTGATCTGCAGCAATTCTCAGTAAAGTTTCTATCTTCAAAATCTGTACACCATGATAAAATGACACTGAATATAAGGAAATCATTTTTGTAATCATCATACCATTTTATTTTTCTATATGTACTTTGTTGTGGAATCCTAATTTACATACAAACTTCCACAATACTGGACTTCATGAACTGCCAGCGTTTATGTACAGGTATGTCACAGCACCAGAACACAAAGAAGATCCAAGATACAGTCTGCACCTGTACACTAGCTGACCCATCTTCCAGAAATAGGAAACATGTAATGCAAAATCTTGGAACAGAGGATCGATCCACAGTTATCTGAACAATTAACTAGCATTGAAATAGAATGTTACACAAAATACAAATGTAGATCTATTGTTTTTTCATCAGAGATGTTTAACTGCTAACTACTAGTGTAAATAAGGTGCAAAGAAACTATCCTATGTTCAAAGCTTTTTGTCAATGCAATTACATATTGACATTATTGCTTCTTAAACAATGATAATCTTTGTTTCATTAGATCTGAGACCATATCCCTAGAGGACATAACACTGATTTTGATCTATTTCCTTTTCTGAGATACTTACTGGTGTCATAAAATTTATAGTAAAGTTGATTCAAAATTTTGTAAAAGTCATAACAAAGGTTTAGGAAAACAGACATGAAAATGTCCTGAAGCCTTCACCTCCTACAAACCAGTGTGCAATTTAATATGAAGCTCATTTTCCAAATAACCATCAACAAACCTTGAACAATTTGTCCAAATCCATCATCTTAATAAACACTAACTTTTGCTAAGTCTTCAAATATTAGTAACCTCCTAAAACACTGATGATTTATCAGAAGAATTACATCAAATATGGGTTAAATATATGTTTCAATATTTATTCCGTTACATGAAAAGTTAACTGAGACTTTTGTAAGTTATTCTGTTCCTGGACTGGATAATGCCTAACCAGGGAGTGAGACCAAAACGTAGCCTTTGCTTTTTCAAATTCTCTGGATGTTGAAATAACTTTAATGAGTTATGATACTAGCAATCACTTTCAGAATTATCTTATTAGTAAATGTAGTATTTAAAAAAACATCTAAAAGCAGGAGCCAAGAAACTAAATTAATACCAAGTGATTGTCCTGCCATGATATGTATGGTGTTTGTTTGCCTAGTTCTGTCTTAAAATCATACGAATCTGATATGTCAATCCATTAAATAATTATTTATTATTGATTAGATTATTATTAATTTTATTACCCTTCCACGTTTACTAAAAAAAGCAAGATTCTTAAAACATACCTTGCTATCATTTCCAGTGAATTAATCAAAATTACAGTTGTAATATTACTCCTAAAATGTACCAATATATGTGAATAATTTATGTGGTAACAAAACTTCAAATAATGTTCTCATAATTAAGATATACACTTTTTTTCACTCCGTCCAATACTCCAGAAAGTCACTGTTCTTCTCACATAGTTTTCGTATTCGATCAACATGGAGGAAGATAATTCAATTCAAAGTCCCCTGCATCTCTTTATAAAAAATCTTAAATATTTAAAGCATGGTTGTATAGGCACTCATATGAATTAATTTTGATACTTGGACATTGGATGATAGGCAACTGCTGACACTGACAATATTTTCGTTTGAATAAAAAAATATTTCTCCTCGAATATTTTGCTCTGTTAACAAGATACTGTAGATCTAGCCCTTCAGATTGTGTTTATGAAACTTAAAACATCCTAAACTGTGTGACAAATTGAAGAATATCTAAGAGCGAAAGGGACATTATCCGCCACATTGTTCTTTCATGTAACAAGTTTTGCTATTTCGGTTGACCCTAACCGAAATGGAGATTTGTTTACATTGTCACGGCTTTCTCGC